TGTATATATACTCTCTCTCTCTCTCTCTCTCTCTCTCTCTCTCTCTATATATATATATATATATATATATATATATATATATGAGTAATTATATATAATGTTTATATTTCTTACTTTGAAAGAGCAAATGTAGAATGAGATCCCTGCCATGCCATATTTTCCATGCTTTATGTTTGAATAGCAATTTATAGAAAGAATAGTCATACGTACTATATATGCACGCTTTACATGATCACGATGCGTCACTGATTTACTGATAGCTCTGACACAACTTTTTTAGTTTCATATAATTTTTTCAGATAAAGATTTCTGTGCAATGTTTATTATTTTTACGACTACATGTTACACACTTAATGTTTGCGTTTATTATTCAATGATTCTTTATTTTATGCAATATGAAATTTAGAATTTTACTTTATTGTTAGATAGAAATTGTTTGATTTTAGAAAATCTGTTGCTAACAAAGTTGTTCACTTTAAAACAGATTTAACTATTTCATAATATATAGTTTTTATGTAAGAGAGATTGTTAAGCAAAAACTATATATTTTAAATATCTTAAAATAATATATATATAAAATATAATATATTTTTTTATTTTAAATTATAAAATTTATATTTAATCTTCAAGATAATACGGAACACTAAAAAATTGCCATATGTCTGTCATTATCTTCAGGTAATAATCATAGCAATTATAGGTGCCTATAATTTCTTAATATTTTAAAGCAATTGCAATCAAACAACTGTATATAAGCTAATATTTGAGATGAGACAAATAAAAATACAATTAGAAAACTATTTATCACAAAATATTTCTTTTAATGATTTAATGATTCTGACAATCTTATAAAACTAAATCGTTACAAAACATTTGTCTAATTAATTCTTTTCGTCTTTTCAGTTGTTCTCATTGGAGATTCTGGAGTAGGAAAAAGTAATCTGCTATCCCGATTTACAAGAAACGAATTCAATTTGGAATCAAAGTCTACCATCGGAGTCGAATTTGCAACACGCAGTATACAAGTAGATGGTAAAACCATCAAAGCCCAAATTTGGGATACAGCTGGACAAGAGCGTTATCGTGCGATTACCTCTGCGTAAGTTTAATTTTACATTTAATAAAAAAATATGAAGATAATAATAGCTTATTTACAATTATTTTAAGTAATGTCATTATATGAATTATAACATGAAAGTTATATTCTTTAATGTTACTAAAAATATTGAGAAACAAAAATAGATAGTACATTCTTGACAGAACTTTTGTTTTTTAAATTAAGTGATAGCATATTATGAAAGCTTTGATCTTTTTTAGTAAAAGTTACATTTTGTAGGCAGTTATTTATTATTATTAATATTATTATTAGAATGATCACATCATATTCAGATATTCTCGCAATTAAATTTAAAAGGATAAGTTTTGAAAATTTGATATATTATCCAATATTGATCCAATTGAACTTATAGAAAAATTAATAATTGATTATGTATTAATGAGACATGTCAAAATTATTTTACTTTTAAAGTAATTACATAATTAAACTTCTATTATTTTTTAAACAATTAATTATATATTTAAAAAAATGTAGACAAACAAAAGTGTAGAAACTTATTTCACCTAAAATTGGTATTCATTAAACTTGATATACGATATATACATATATCAATAAGCTTTCTCTATTTACTAGATATTACCGCGGAGCAGTTGGTGCACTACTCGTGTATGATATTGCAAAACACCTGACGTATGAAAATGTAGAAAGATGGTTACGAGAATTACGGGACCATGCTGACCAGAATATTGTGATCATGTTAGTGGGAAATAAGTCAGACTTAAGGCATCTGCGTGCTGTTCCAACTGACGAGGCTAAAGCGTTTGCTGAAAGAAATGGCTTATCTTTCATTGAAACATCCGCTTTAGATTCAACTAACGTTGAGACAGCGTTTCAAAACATATTAACAGGTAACTCTCTTAATTATAATTTTGTACATAGAATTTATTGTTTTCGAAACAGATTACAATTTTATACTTTTTTCACTCAAAAATTAACTTTAATCAATTTCTTTTAAATTCAAATGCATATATAGAATCAAGGTCTGACTATATGCTTTCCATTTAGTGACACAAGTTGACACAGCATTATCTTTCTTGAATATTTAGTGAATAATAAAGATAGAATATCACTTGTGTTGAAATTACTAAATAAAAAACATGTAGTCTTTCTACTAATAGTCTTTCCTACAGAGCTATACTTTATTCAATGTTGTTTCATAAAAGTTAGCATACACTGAATTGATTATTAAATAATTGAAAACTATGTTAAAACTGTAATAGCTAACATATTTTGGTATCATCCATGAAATCAATTATACGTATGTGTAGTTATCAATAATATACATATATATTTGTGCTAATTTTTGGTATTATAAAATATAGAATTTTTTAATTTTACGAGTTAAAATTGCAATATTACAATAGAATTAAAATTGTATGTTTTTCGTGTAATATTTGCATTAAAATACTATTATAATATAATTTTTTAATATTTTTTTAATATTTAATATGTATTACACTTTATTAAGATAAATACTTGTCTGTATCAGAGTTAATATTTATTGTAATGATAAACATCATGCGTATTTTATTGTTTCATTTAATAAAAATTTTTTATTTTTACAGAAATATACAGAATCGTATCGCAAAAACAGATACGAGACCCACCTGAAGGTGATACAATCCGGCCACAAAATGTAGAACAAATTGAAGTCAAACCAACGATGAATGCTGAGGGAGTGCGTAAGCAGTGCTGCCAGTGACTCACCTTGTTGCTTAAAATGTGTGTACACATATATACAGTATGAATATCATGGAAGTACAGTTGGGGATAATATTTAATTTCTAACGGAAAAGATTTTGTTTATGATGCAGTAAAAAGTTTCTGGAATGATCATTTGTATAATAGGATAGATTTAATATAAGGAAACTATATGGTTAGTTTATTATATTATTAATGTTAACTTGATTGTAAATTGAGTTAATTTTAACATATATCAAAATTAAATATTATTAAAGACACTTCTATCATGTTTCTTTCATTCCAATAATTTGTATTCTACTGTTGATCGTATTGAAGTTGTTTATTTCTATCATGTACATACAGCTACAGTCTCTTATACATAATTTTCTAAAATAATTAAAATAATTAAAATATTTAAGTTTTTTTTCTTCAACAGATTATATTGTAGATTTAAAATCTACATAAGATATTTCAAAATAACTAGATGTTTAATATATTTCTTGATTAATTCAAAATTGATTTTCTCAATGGATATATCAAGTCAATGTTGTTTTCGAATAACTAATATTCGAAAATAAAAGATATTTGTGAATCAAATTTCAAGAACAAATGAATAATAAAACTATACTTTTCAAATAATTTTAAGAATTTCAATGTGAGACTTACATGTAAAAACACTGAAAATTGGAATATTAATAATAAGGACTTCTATAGAGAAAGAAAAAGAAATAAAGGAAATATTGGCTTTGAATTGGTTAAAGAATTTGTTGTTAAAAGGACCCCCGATGACTTTCGAATATTCTATATCGTTAGATCACAAATGCTTTATAAAATATAAAAATCAGTTCGTGTTCAACATAAATATGTA